ACGAGACCTGCCGGAATACATGGCTCTATCGCGGAGAATCTTGCCTTCCCGTATATACAGACCCACATGCCGATGAGCCTCGATGATGGCTGTAGCAGTGCGCGCGTGCGAACATGATGAGCGGCGTGTGCATCGGCAGTCGCGATCAGGTGCCCGGAAATGCAATCCTCTGCGGTTGAGCTACCTAGCTGAGCTAGCAGGAGCCACAGCTGGCCCTTACGTAACCCGGCGGCGCTGCCACTACAACGTCGGACGCGTCGATTGGGCAGACAGCGCGACGGGACTACTGTTCGGCAGAATATCCGCATGCGACACCTCCCCTGCCCCATGCGACCGACCTAACGACATCCGTCTGTGAGCAGTTGCTGAACCTCGTGGCGGCTATACGCACGCTGATTCGCCCGCGCTCTCCAGTCGTGTGAACGACATGGGCATTCTGCCCTTCTGCCAGCGTATGCACAATCTCGTGGCCCTCCTACAATGAGTCGTCGGTGGCGTTCTCAAGCCAGGCCCCTCGTTCGGCATCTTCCAAATACCTGCTAACACGCTGTCTGACCAGGCCCAAGCGAGTCTATGGATTGAGCGGTCCACTGCAGGGTACCGCCAGCTGCATCGTGAGTGACTTCACTTCTCGACTTCCCTACCAACCACGCACGGCCGTTCTTTGGGCTGTCACCAGCAAGCCTCATCACGTCTTGAGCTTTTCTCCTGTCTCCACTGCCGAATAGGCGGCGGCCGAAGACCACACACCTGACATCGTGGGTCCTGTATGGTTGGATCTGCAACGCAACCCGGAACTGGATCCATCGCTTGTGCATCATCGTATGCGCATAGCCGCGAGGCTTCGAGAACAACACTTTTGAGTTTCTTCTTGCTACTAGCATCATGTACGTCTCCCCATCATATGGAGACCCTTCAACCCCGCCCACTGGTGGTTTTGAAAAAGACAGCCTCGTCGACGAGTCTTGCTTCCAAAGAAGACACTACTGACTCAGCACGCTTTTCCAGGAAGTTCGGAAAGCACATCCAGAAAAGGCAACTGGAAATCCCAGAATACGCCGCCAGCTTTGTCGACTACAAAGCACTCAAGAAGGTCCTTATGCTTTCCCTGCTATCGAGGCTTCACTAATCATGAATTCCGTAGCTCATCAAGAAACTTAGCGCTACACCAGTGATACCTCCACAGAGCGAGGGTTTTCAACATGAATCCCTGGATCCGCAATCGTCTTTGCAGGCAAACAAGGCCACTTTCTTCTTCCGAGTGGTAGGTCTTTGTGCCAGCGACATATACATAGGTTCTTACTTGATGCACAGGAACGTGAGCTCGAAAAGGTCAACACATTCTACCTACAGAAAGAGGCAGAGGTATGTTCTACTTATTGTGTGTGGGGTGCTCAGCGCTCACCTCTGTCGCAGTTGCGTCTGCGCTTGACCACGCTTCTCGATAAGAAGAGAGTCATGCAACAACACCCGCAGTCTGTCTCCAAGACATCCTCGCGATATGTTGCCCTCGAGGAGGGGCTAAAGCAGTTTAGCATGGATCTTAACAAACTTGAGGTGATTGGTCCGCACACACTCGGGGCTGCCCCCACTAACCTGACTTAGCAATTCGTGGAAGTGAACGAAACAGCCTTTTCAAAGATCCTCAAGAAGGTTTGATACACCCACTCTCTGTCGTCAACGGCCTGCTAACATTGCCTAGTGGGACAAAACATCCAAAGTCCGTTACCATCACCTGCGCATCACCGACATTGGCTGACTCCATACCAGTCAAGGGAAAAGCAGCTTTACCTCGCGCGCGCCGTCGAAGTCCAACCATGCTTCAACCGAGAAGTCATCAGCACGCTTTCCGATCAAGCAACCCAAGCACTCCTTGATTTCTCGGGATGGGCTGAAGGCGAAGGAGTACAAGCCCCTCATCCCACAGCCGAACCGCGCGTCTCCGAACCTGCTTTCGAAGCGAAACTCGAGCTCGACAACCAATTTGTGCAAGCCATCAACACCGCGAACCAAGGCAAGATAGAAGAATGCCTCGCTCGTCTGTCGACCCTCCCCGATGCAAGCGACCACATCTCTCGAGCGTTTCTCAGCACCGTTGCCGAAGCGCCAGAGTCTGCACTGCGAATTTTGCTCGACTCGAACCTAGTAAATCTCCAACAAGAGGATGAGATCAACGAGCGAAATTGTCTCCATAAGTCGGCCATCAGCGGCAGGATCGAAGTACTCAAACTTGGCCTATCGAGCAACGTGGATGTGCACGCGACGGACGTGTACGGCAGGATACCATTGCATTACGCCTGTATGCATGGATACGTGGAGCTGGTGCAGGAACTCATAAACGCTGCTCCAGAAACAGTGAACTTTCGGGATCAGGACAGCTTCACGCCCCTGATACATGCCATCGTGCACTCAAAGCTTGCTTGCGTGGAGATACTTCTTTCGCGAGGTGCTGATCTTACGCGTCTGGGTCCTGGAGAGCATGTGCCGCTCAATCTCGCATGCCAATATGCATCGCTAGAGATCCTGGAACTCCTTCTACAAAGGTCGGCAGAGATGCTTTCGGATGCGGAAGGGCTGTTCCCTCAACACTTGGTGGCACGATCGGGCAAGACGCCAGAAGCCTTGTTGATGCTGCGGAAATACGGCGCCGACCTCGACCAGCCAGACAAACTCTATCAATGGACGCCACTCTTTCATGCTGCGAGCGAGGGTCATGTGGAGTGTCTTAAGACACTACTTCAATGTCAAGTCGACGTAGACATTGTGGATGAGAAAGGTCTTTCCGCCATGTACTACGCGACATGGGAAGGGCATCTAGAGTGCATGCAGCTACTTGCTTCTGTTGGACGCGGTGTTGGGCTCATGACACAGAAACAGGCCTCGCCTCAAATATCCTCTCAGCTGTCCAGCTCAATGCCTACAGCCATGGATATTGAAGGCGATCCTGACGGCATTCCCGAGTTCATCCTACCACCACCGATCATACCCTTCCGAAGATATGGCCACAACTTCCTGGACACGAAGACGTTCGTAGTCATCAACTTCGAGAAGGTGGGCAAGGATGCTATTCGATTCTATGACGAATCGAAGTACCCTGCTGCAAGGCTTACCATCTCTTCGAAGAGCTCTGATCTTATACCACGCAATATCCTGCTACCCATACAAGATGAGTTCAAGGTCATCTCTTTCCAAATCGAGAACCTCGATACCTTCTCTATCGACTTCGACGTATACCCTACAATAGGATCAAAGGTCATCGCTCGCAGTGTGGCTTCTTCAAAGGTATTTACGGAGCGTTCGAAAAGCACGGGCCGATGGCATCTCGAACTGTTTGACCCAAGACTACGAGCCATTGGCAGAGTCACCTTCGACTTCCAGGTGGTTAAGCCGTTCCACGGAATTCCGCTCGAGATTACACACTTTGCAACTTACTGGAAGGCTACTAGTCAACTGGACTCACAGCCGCACACACTCATCACCGGGTCCAGCCTGTCTGGTGAATACGTACGCCTGTTCGTCCAACTGACTGCAGATGGCATACCGGTGCTACATCCGAGATGGAAGGTCAATCATCACGGGCTAGAAGTTCCGGTCAACATCCTTACGTATGCGCAATTCGCTGCGATCGGTGTCGCGCAAACAACCACAGCCGCAGACCAGCTTGCTGCGGAACTCGGCAACAATGGTTCGATCAACATACCGAATATCTATCAAATCATGGCATCTTCGTTCATTACACTGAAAGATGCCTTATCGGCACTTCCGGCTCACATTCATGTGGAGCTGCACGTTCTCTTCCCATCCCGGCTCGAAGAAGAACGCCTCAAACTCGGCCCCACGCACGACATGAACACTTTCGCAGATAAAATATTGTCTGTAGTCTTTGAACATGCACGTAAATTAAGGGAGCAAGGCGCGGGCGAGATCGATGGGACACTGAGAAGTGTGCTGTTCAGCTCCTTCAACCAGGACATATGCACGGTCATCAACTGGAAGCAGCCCAACTGTGAGTTCAATCATAGAACAATGAATGTAACAGATGCTAACATTGAGATAGATCCAGTTCTCCTCTGCAACGAGCTCGGAGCCGATACTTCGCAGTCGCCTTCTGGAAATACAAACATCATTCAAAGCAGCGGCCGCACGACAACGTCTGTAAAGGAGGCTGTGCAGATCGCTAGAGACAACAACTTCATGGGCCTGATTTGCAGTTCGCGATTACTGGTGAGAGGAATACGACTCAATACGCAGTTCAGTTCTAACAATGACTAGTCACTCGCTCCTGCCCTAATCGAATCGATCAAAACAGCCGGCCTTGTCCTCGTTACGGACATCACCGATTCCCCAGCCGAAGATGCCGCCCAACCCGCGAGCCTTCATGTAGCAAATCCGCGTCGACAGAACACACCCGACGGAGTCGATGGCTATCTCAAGGGCAATGGCGTACTCTGCTTCAACGAAACGGTCGATATGTAGACAGGGGTACGGGATGATGGTCAGCTTGATGGATCGGTTGTGGGCACATGGGCGAACGGATAATGGTGATACAGTTCAGGCGTTGCGCAATAGACTGGATATCTCGCGGGGGAATTACTATACCAGTAGAGGGAAGGGTGTCATGATGCTTTCATTAACAAGTGGTAACTGTCCGACGGCGTGTCTTATCCGGTGCAGCTGGTTATGGGTGCCGAATATGTTTTAAAGGCGCGCGTTATGTTAGCAAATTCGATATGCAAGTGAGATTGTTCAAGCAGTACCGTGTCTGGGCGAGGTGGTTTAGCATGTGATGGGGCTCGGCAGTGTCGATGGTCGCCGCAAACCGACAAGGGTGTGGCGTCCCGGTTCCGATTCGCGCGACGCCTCCATCGAAAAATGTCGAACGACGACATTTGTGGCTAGAAGCGCATGGTCTGTTGCCGCTTGTCGTTCGCTTTCGCATCTGTGTCTGAGCGCCCTACTCTCTGCAGTGCTTGGACCCTGCCGACCATGGTATACACATAATGTCGACTCTGAGCGCCCTTACTAGTCCGCTCCTCCGAAGGACGTGGACTTGCCGAGCTTGTATACGGTCCCAACGACACACGACGCCGCAACGACAAGGCCTATGGCAACAGCGAAACACGTCGGCCGGGCACAGTGCATTCTCGACCCGCCTTGGAGCGCAGAGGACATTTGCAAGCCAGGCCAATGAGGCAGCCAATGCCACGGCCAAAGCTGCGGGGAGGGGCTCAAAGGGCAGCAAGAGAAGGAGACGACTGCTGATAACTGGAGGTGGAGTCGCAATCGGCGCAGCTATCGTCACAGTAAACGACGACGCCAAACACGCCTATGTGGCAGCGCAGCGCAGCTACAGGGTGGTTGCGACGCTGGTACTCAACATAAGAGAGTATGTTATGTGCCTGGTGCAATCCAATTGAACACTCGATAGCTAATATACCTGTTCCCACAGCTATCGCGACATACTCAAGCGTGATGATGAGCCCGACTACAACGAGCAACTCAAAGCCTGCCACCTCCGATGCGCCAAACGTACCCTCCGCACGCTCGAGAAGAACGGCTCCATCTTCATAAAGCTGGGACAACATCTGAGCAGCATGAACTACCTCTTGCCGAACGAATGGTGCGATACCTTTATACCGCTACAAGACCAATGCCCGATATCCTCCTTCGAATCCATACAGGACATGTGCCGGCGAGACACAGGTCTGGAACTCTCAGACTTCTTCTCAGAGTTCGAGGAACGGCCCATAGGCGCGGCCTCGCTGGCTCAAGTGCACCGCGCAACAGTCCGTGAGACTGGCCAGAAGGTTGCCGTCAAGGTACAACATCCTGCGCTGGACGAATGGGCCAAACTCGACCTGGCCTTGACGAGCTTCTCCTTCACAACGCTTAAGCGCTGGTTTCCCGAATACGATTTGACCTGGCTATCCGACGAAATGCAACTCTCTCTCCCACAAGAACTCGACTTCGCCCTTGAAGGGAAGAACGCTATGCGCGCACGTGAGTACTTCTCCCACGTCCGCGATGTGCCCGTCGTCATACCTAAAGTTCTCTGGGCCAAGCGCCGACTGCTTGTCATGGAATACGTATCTGGATTCCGGACAGACGACCTCAAGAGCTTGGACGAACACGGCATTGATAGAGATGAAGTGTCGGCAGCCTTGGCTCGGATATTCAACGAGATGATCTTTGGCAGAGATGCACCACTTCATTGCGACCCTCACGGTGGAAACATCGCCATTCGACACAACCCCGCTCGCGGAGGCAAGTCCAATTTCGATGTTATACTATACGATCACGGTCTCTATCGCGACATTCCCTTGCCCCTGCGACGCAACTACGCAAAGCTTTGGCTCGCCGTCTTGGACGCTGACGAAGCTGGTATGCGCAAGTACGCCTATGAGGTAGCAGGGATCAAAGAAGAGCATTTTCCTCTATTCGCGTCGGCAATCACAGGAAGAGACTATACCGTGCTGGCGAAGAAGGAGAGTGGCACAGGTGGCGTGATGACGAGCAGGACCAGTGAAGAAAAGAAAGTCATTGGAGATGCTTTGGGAGACGGGCTGATTGAGAGCCTTATTGAGCTGCTTGGACAGGTTCCGAGGGTGATTCTGTTGATTTTGAAGACGAACGATCTGAGTAAGTCGTGCCACTATTCTCCATCAGACCTTGATACTGACTATTCCTCAAGCGCGCTCTTTGGACGAAGGTCTACATACACGCCAAGGCCCCATGCGCACTTTTCTCATTCTAGCCCGGTATGCTAGTCGTACGGTTTACGAAGAGAGTCTGGACAACCTCAACGGCAGCGTGCTTTGGCCGAGCAACTTCCTTAGCTGGCTGGGCGCGTGGACGAGACACATGCGAGTCGAAATGCAATTGAGTGGATACGAGACGTACCTCAAACTACGGGCGCTGCTGGGTATGCAGAAGATTGAGATTGGGGATAGTTTTAGAGAGTAAGACGATGAGCATGGAGTTTGGCGTGATAGAGATTAGATTTCAGCATATGGTTGCATTGGAGCAGGTGGATGGTTCGCACTAGATTAGGAGTACAGCGAAAAAAGTTCATTCTGAAACTTGAAAGTCATGTCTATCTAGATGGGCACATGTGGCGGTGCAGTATTACAGTGAAGTGACGGCAGTACCCACTCGGCCTGAGCATACGGCAATACGGAACAGGCGGGACGTGATTTGAGCTGGACCATACGTGTGGCGGTGCCGTTTACCCAGGAATGTGTGGCCTTGCATGTGGCTCGCGTCTAGACGAATGATAGTCTTGGTGTTTGACTGGTGGTTTACAGTGTGTTTGAGGCGAGGTCGGGTGATGGAGTGCAGCTGAGGCGTCGCAGCGAGCGCCCAGAAGCTCGAAACATGTACGGGCAAGACCAAGAAAACGTAGATGGGACTGGAGACGGTTCCAGCACCATGTGTGGCAGCAGAGATGTGGTCGAGGGATACGCTCTTATTTCGGTCCATGGATATGCTAGCGGGCGGTGACAGGGAGGTCGGGCGGGTTTGACATCATCGATGCCATGCGTCTCGTGGGCAAACGCAATCCTGACAGACACGCGTTCGCCATCCAGACAAGGAGTACACCTGCCAGGACTCTTGTTGCTACTATTCTGAACCCAATTCCCCGTGGAAAGCATATATCGCGAGTTGGTTCGGCTCCAGTTGTCAGCAGTTCGCATCGGTCTCCAACCAGGCGGGGCAAGCGCCAAGGCAGCACAAGGCATCCTCGCGCAATCGCATCGTTCACGCCGCAGCGCTCAACGCCCTAGCCGCCGGGCCTGGACAGCAGAGACAGAGGCGGGATAGCGACTGGCAGCGATTGCAAAGGATTGTATAAGCGACTGCCATCGCCAGGCCGGAAGCTCTTCGGGCAGGACCGTGAACGCCCGCCGCATTTGCCTTTGTAGACTGCGCACGGCCGCCCTGGCACCGCACAGCCTCCTCCAGTACCTGTACTGCAGCACCCTCGTCGCTCCGCCGCAGCCCAGAGACGCCATACATCACCACCACGACGGCCCTCCGCGAAGAGGCCCCCGCAATCACCGCGAGCTCTGAGAGCCGCCCCCCGACCGCCGCCTCCAGCTTCCCTTCTCCCGCACCTGCGCGCCCTGCTGTTGCGCTGCATATCCGCGCATCATGGACGGCGCCGGCCAGCCCAACCTGCGCATCACCAGTACGTCTGACCTCCTGTGACCCCCGAGACGACACTGACACGCTGCAGTCATCGCCGCCGATGGGCTCTACAAGCGCGATGTGTTCCGTATGTATGCCCCCAGCCAGGCCCATGGCGTCACGTCGCTCATGCATGTGCTGCAGGATTTCCGGACCCCTTCGCAGTGGCCACAATCAATGGCGAGCAGACGCGCACCACGAGCGTCATCAAGAAGACGCTGAACCCCTACTGGAACGAGAGCTTCGACATGTACGCTGCCCCGGGCCCGACCCTCGCCTCCCACGCTTTCGCATAACGCTAACACACGACACAGGAAAGTGAACGAAGAGAGCGTCCTCGCGGTTCAGATCTTTGACCAGAAGAAGTTCAAGAAGAAGGACCAGGGCTTCCTGGGCGTCATCAATGTCCGCATAGGGTCGGTGATAGACCTCGACGCGGGCGGGGATGGTAGGCCTGATCCATGCCGCTCCTGCGCCATGTGCTAACAAACCCTCAGAGATGCTTACGCGCGATCTCAAAAAGTCCAACGACAACATGGTCGTCCACGGCAAGCTTATCCTCAACCTCTCTACTAACCTCACCGCGCCCATCAGCCAAGGCGGCCAGAACGCCACCCGCCCGACCGCATCCCCGCACCCATCCGTAAACGGGGCTCCTGCTGGCGCTGTGCCAACTCCGCAACAGTCGACGACGAACCTCCACCCTCCTGACGTATATCCCGGCCAGCAACGGCCATCAGTCGCAGGCCAACCCGCTGCCCAGCGTCTCAGCCAAGCGCCTCCAGCAGGCACGCCAACCGGCCCGCCCGCTGGACCTGGTCCCGCGCCAAATGGAGCAAACCCCGCTCGCAACAGCGGCGGTGCATACAGCGCCTTTGAGGATGCGCAAGGAAGACTACCGAATGGCTGGGAGCGCCGTGAGGACCACCTAGGGCGAACCTACTACGTCGACCACAACACCAGGCAGACCACCTGGATCAGGCCAGGCGCAGGCTTCAACGAAGCAGACCAGCGCCGAGATGTAGCTGCGCAGACTCAACAGGAGCGCATGCGACATCAGAACCGCATGTTGCCCGAAGACCGAACGGGAGCCAACTCACCTACCCTCACCGAGCGCCAGCCATCGCCGCCCGCTGGCTCAGCCAACGCCGCAAGCATGATGGCGACTGGAGCGACTACTGCTGGAACAGGAGAGCTCCCGTCTGGTTGGGAGCAGCGGCATACCCCCGAGGGCCGGCCATACTTTGTTGATCACAACACGCGAACGACAACATGGGTGGATCCGCGCCGACAACAGTACATTAGGATGTACGGTGGTCAGGCCGCGAACGGAAGCACAATCCAACAACAGCCCGTCTCTCAACTTGGACCACTACCATCTGGATGGGAAATGCGCCTCACCAACACGGCCAGAGTTTACTTTGTGGACCACAACACAAAGACCACCACGTGGGACGATCCGAGATTGCCTTCTTCGTTGGACCAGAACGTACCTCAGTACAAGCGCGACTTCCGTCGCAAGCTCATCTACTTCAGATCGCAACCTGCACTGCGCATTGTCAGTGGCCAATGTCACGTCAAGGTGCGCCGAACGCATATTTTCGAAGACTCGTACCACGAGATTATGCGCCAGAGTGCTGCCGATCTGAAGAAGCGACTAATGATCAAGTTCGACGGTGAAGACGGTTTGGATTACGGAGGTCTTTCTCGAGAATTCTTCTTCCTGCTTTCCCACGAGATGTTCAACCCCTTCTACTGCTTGTTCGAATACTCTGCGCACGACAACTACACTCTTCAGATCAACCCTCATTCCGGAATTAACCCCGAACATTTGAACTACTTCAAGTTCATTGGTCGTGTTGTTGGTCTGGCCATTTTCCACCGCCGTTTCTTGGATGCCTTCTTCATTGGAGCTTTCTACAAGATGATCTTGAGGAAGAAGGTCGCCCTCCAGGACATGGAGGGTGTCGATGCGGACTTCCATCGCAACTTGGAATGGATGCTGTAAGTTGAGTATCTGATTTCAAGTAAACATGAGCTAACAACGGTAGGAACAATGATATCACAGACGCTTTAGAGCTGACCTTTGCAACCGACGACGAACGTTTCGGTGAAACCGTCAGCATTGAGCTGAAGCCCGGAGGTGATGACATCGAGGTGACTAATGAGAACAAACACGAATACGTTGAGTATGTGACCCTGATCTTGCTCTGTTCCAGAGTCGTGCTAACCGCTTAGGCTCATTACCGAATGGCGCATCCAGAAACGAGTTGAAGAGCAATTCCAGGCTTTTATCACCGGATTCCATGAACTCATCCCTGCGGATCTTGTGAACGTCTTTGACGAACGTGAGCTCGAACTACTCATCGGTGGTATTGCCGATATCGATGTCGACGACTGGAAGAAGCACACCGATTACCGTGGCTACACCGAGAACGACGAGGTCATCCAGAACTTCTGGAAGTGCATTCGCAGTTGGGACGCTGAGCAGAAGTCCCGTCTCCTACAATTCGCTACTGGTACATCACGTATCCCCGTCAACGGATTCAAGGATCTGCAAGGTAGTGATGGACCAAGAAGATTCACGATCGAGAAGGCTGGTGAGCCCAACCAATTGCCAAAATCACATACATGGTATAATATCCATCCAAGTCAATACCCGCGTCAACTACTAACAAGATGCTCAGTTTCAACCGTCTCGATTTACCACCGTACAAAACGTTCGAAGCACTCAACCAGAAACTTACAATTGCTGTTGAGGAAACCGTCGGTTTCGGACAAGAATAAACACATTGCTGTCCAGGAGAAGCCGTGCGCGTTGACTGCAGTTGCGGTCGAGGAAGTGTGGAAGACTACTACATGGCGTTGTCGTCCTTGTACAAAATCTGCGAAAGGAAAGGAGCATCATTAGTATATGGCGAGAGCACGCTCCTTGGGATGGTATATGATACTTGTGGTTTTCAGAACTTGTCTCTAATCTGGCTCACCTCCAGTGTATGCGTGGGACATATTTGCATTGCTTGCACGTGCGCATGTGGCGTTTTAGGGTTGAGAGAATCGGAAGTAGGATAGCGCTTTTCTTACATGAGCGCTGCGTCAATCGAAGATGATGAGGTATGAAAGGAGTCTACGTGATATTTTGATATGTCTGATGTGTGTTGAATTGGTGTGTGCTAGGTTTCAGTTGATACTTTTTTGGTGACATGATATCGTTCACATGAATCTGAGCAGTCTGATGGTCTTTCGTGGAGGTAATCCGGAGGAACATATATCAGTCCACCGCGGCACGGCACATGATCTTTCAATGTAATTTCCATTCTCATCATAGACTCATCTACATGTGCCAGCCACGGGCCTCAAGCGCGTGGATAGCGAGATTTGGGGAGCGAACGCCCGTGCTTGCCGATCAGTCACCACGATGAGGCTGTTTGTTGGATAACAAATCCATCAACGCTAGCACACAACGAAGAACCGCAGTGTCTTCGGCAGAAGCCGAGTTATGGGCACGGAATGCATAGCAACATGTCATGAGATGTGGGCTCACGATGTATAGTTGCCCATGTTAAGATCTCGCAAAGTCCGGAGATGCGCCATAGATCGTTAGCTAGCTGCAAGCATCGAGCCATAGAGGAAGGGGCGCAGTTCCGGCGGCCGTATTATAGCCTCTTCTTGGCGCCCATCCCCTTTGCAACGGCTTTGATCCCCGTCGCTGGTTCGTGAAGTGACCAGCACCCTGGCGTTCATCATGCCCGCTGGCCAATTAACATCCTGACTCGGGTAGCTTCGACAAGCGAAATGCAAGCTGCCTCTGTTGTGGCTTTCCTCCGGCGTCGTCTTCACTCCTTGCACCACCACACGCCCACGCAGGTTTCCGGGCAATGCTGTGCTTGCATGTGCCAGCTCAGCTGCGTCCTACCCACCTCCCTCGAGCGGCGAAGGAAACAAGAGTGGATACAGCAGACAAGAGGCAAAAAAATGCGCTCTTGGTGCATTGAAATCACTAATTTTAGTTTTGGGAGGGAGGAGACAGCGTCCGGCGCGCTAAACCACCTCTCTTCCGCTATTATCTTCCGAGCCTGGCACACACTAAGCGACACGGCGTTAGCCCCGTGTCTTGAGCAGATGCGCGGCAAGGGGAAGCACTGATGCTTTTTTATTTTGGCCTTGACTCTCAGTCTTGGTACTTCCGGGGAAAGGGGATTAAGGTTATTGGTTTTGTTTGGTGTTTGACAAGAGGGGATTAGGGATTGCGGGTTTCCCGAGGGGTGGAAAGTTTAAATCATGGCCTTTCTTTACTCCCTGTCGCAGCTCTCTTTCCCTTCTTCCTCTTCTTACTCTCGTCGCACTCCTCGAAGTCTATCCGTCCTACCTTTCTCGGTGATATTCACTACTCAGACTACGATACCCACCATTCGCTTTGGGCATCAACGGTTTTACAGCTTAATATCCTTTTAATTTGAACCGACTTCCTCGATCTCTATACCTACTTCACCCTTCCGAAACCAATCGTCGAATATCAAGATGCGTTTCATCACCGCTATTGCCTTTGCCGCCACTGCCAGCTTCGTTGCTGCGCAGGACAAGTGCGACGCCCAGAACATTGTCGACACCTGTGTCCAGGGCTACCAAGGTCGTATCGATGACTGCAACAAGAACGGCAACGACTTCATCTGCCTCTGCGACGTCTACAGAGACGTTCTCGTCTGCTACAACAACTGCCCTGGTAAGTCCATCCATCAAACGACAAAGCAGCCAGCAGATAATCTAACATATCGTCATAGACTCCCTCGAGAAGCCTCCCGTCCAGAACACCGTAACCTCCTACTGCGGTGCCGCCGAGCCCCTTCGCGCCGCTGCTTCCTCCTCCATGGCTTCCGTTGCCAGCGTCGCTGCCACACAATCCCACGCTGCTGCCAGTGCCACCAGCGCCATGACCAGCGCTACTGGCACTGGATCCGAGTCCGAGTCTGCGCCCAGCGCGACTGCCAGCAGCTTCGAGGGTGCCGGTAGCTCTTTTGGTGTACCTGCCGGTGCGGCCATTGTTGCCATGTTCGCTGGTCTGTTGTAGAGTAGCATGTTCGAGAGAGGGACTTGTAGTTCGTGTAGTTGTGAATAGGATAATCTTTAATCGGGGATACGAAGTGTTGGCGATTGGCTGGATATTTTGAGCCGCGCGCGTGAGTGATGTGTGTGTCGTGATGTTCATTCTATTGTTGTGGTAATCGACGCTTCGATATCTCGGTAGCTAAGAGATAGGCCTATACTTTATGGCTTGCATAGGAAAGTGTGATCCGAGTAAGAGGGTTGAGATAGTGAGGATCATCTTATACAAGGAAAAACTATACAGGTGTGCTGACTACAGCAACAGAAAAAATGCAAAGTAGGCGACCCAACGTTAATGTAGGCTCTATGGTGTTAAGTTTTTTCCTAGGTTGACGTGGCATGATGTAGGTGATATCTTGTAGAATTTGAATATTTATTGATCATCTAGGCTCTATACCCTCAGCAACCCTTATTGCAAGCAAATAACACGCACGTACAACTAAGTCCTTCCCATGCTCCTCGCTTTTGGCCAATACCGAAAAGATATGGCTGACCACTGAAAGAAATAAAACGCCATTTTTCCATGCACATGCAACTCCAACACCACTTGTGTCAACACATCTACTCCTCGTCGACAACACGGCCCCACTCGTGTCCCTCCATACCGTCGCTACCCCACATGATGCCCTTGAGGGAGTTCTTGAAGTAGCTCGCGTACGCGCCAGAGTCGCCCTTGACCATCGGGACTTCGATATCCTTTCCTCGGAAGTGGATCTGGCTAATAGGAGCGACGAACCACGCAGTACCAGCCGCGAAAGCCTCGACAAGACGGCCTTCTTTGGCCGCCTCCTCAATCTCAAAGACGTTGAATTTGCGCTCAACAACCTCGAGAGTCTCCAAATCGGCTGAAGGAGAGGAAGAAGTAAGTCTTGAGCGGGCGAGTTCTAGGATAGACCTCCTTGTTACACCATCGAGGACAATACGCTCGTTGAGGTCAGCAGTGACAAGCTGTAGCTTTCCTTCCTTGGTCTTCCACACGACGAAGAAGTTGCTTGCGCCTGCCTCGGTGATGGTGCAGTCGTCGCCGAAGAGCCAGAGGATCTGGTGGTATCCCCGCTTTCTCGCTTCGCCTTGGGCAACCAGCGAGGGACCGTAGTTGGCACCAACTTTGGCGTAGCCGAAACCGCCGGGCCATGCGCGGCACATGTCGTCTTGGGAGGCGAGCAACTTGATACCACCGCTCATGTCGCCCATGGGTGCGAAGCAGCATAGGATGACGAACAGAAGAGCCTCTTTCGGTCGCTCAACACCGAGAGCGGGGTCGGAAGCAATCATGGTGGGACGAATGTAGAGGAACTGTCCTGGTCGGTCCTTGGGGAGCCATTTGGCACCATCGGTGGCACAAAGCTTGACAATGAGCTTGAGGAGTTCCTCAGGGTCGAATGCGGGGAGAGCGATACGGTTCGTGGACATGAGCATGCGGCGGCAGTTCAGGTCTGGGCGGAAAAGACGAAGTTTGCCGTCGTATCCGCGGTATAGCTTCATGCCCTCGAAACATTCGGTTGCGTAGTGCAGGCATGAGGCTGTGGGCGCGAGAGACAGCGGGCCGTAGGGCTTCAGCTCAGGTGCTGCCCAGCCGGACTCGACAGTCCATTGAGCTTGCACCATGTGGTCGGTGCAGACCTTCTGGCTGGCCATCTCTGCTGAGCCTACAGCGGGAACGGAGCGCGGGGTGCTGGTGTATGTGCAAGAAACCTTGGAGGCATCGAGTTCAGCGAGAGGTGCGTCGACGACATCTTGGCTTTTGCTTGTGGGCTCGTTTGGCGGTGTGGCAGTGATGGAGTTTGTGAGCGATGCAGAGTCGATTTGTGCTGGGGCGTTCTTGAGAAGCGCAGATTTGATGCCGTCTTGGGTGAGTTCGGTAACAGTCTCGATATGATTTGGGGGTGTGACGGCGCTGGGTGCCATGATTGCTGTGTGTAAGATCGGGTAGTTCTTAAGCTATCAATTGAGATAGCAACGGGTGGTTAAAGAATCTACGGTTGCTTCTGTATGGTAGGGAAGTAAGTAGTTCAATGTGGAATGAGAAGATGGGTACCCTGGCGTGCTCTTATACAAAGGCCTTGAAAAAATTCGGTCAAGAGTCACACGCGTCCCTATCACACGCGCGGGAGCAAACCCACCTACCCGAACCATCCATCGATGTAATGTCTGCCCAGCCGCCTGCGGATTACGGCGGCGGTCTAGTGTGTTCCCTTCAAGAATGCAAAGATAAAGGGTTCCACTTGCAGCCGATTTAGACCCTCTCTCCAGAGAAACCAGTCTGGAGACTGATTGCGCCCGTTTGCCTCTTCCTTCTATGACATCAAACGTCTTTCTCGTTGGTTGGACATCACACAAGCAATTTGCCGTCGAAGAGAACGCCGAAAGACGCGTCTTCCAGAAGCCGTCGAAACCGGGGTCGTGACGTTAGCGTACCTGAGGACTAAGGATGCGCATGGCGGGCGTAGGGCGTGTGTGCCGAGCCTGCGGTATCCTTGTACCTACCGCTAGTATCCGCGACCAGTTCGCGCGTCCGATCCCCGGACATGGAGATGGGGGATTGTATAACAAGCGGTGCAATATCGGGCCTGTTTAAATGTTGGGGTAGCACGAGTGATGATGCGCAGTATCTGCGATGTCGGACTGAACTTCCAGAGCATGAAGTTGAGGTCTCGTGCGAGAGGGCGACGTAGCTCGGTAATCAGCGGTACAAGCGATGGGGAACTTCACCGCAGGGAAAAAAAATGCTCAAGTGACCTTTTCAAAACAACAGGGTATCATATTCTACGACGGCCATGCCGATTGCAGTCTTTTCAATGGCGCTATCTACCGAAGCCCCGTCACGATGCCTGCACGTACTTCTGTATGGGTTTCCGTACATAGCCCGCCACCACCTCTATCCGGCCCAAAGTGAACTTCACGATGCCGGAGATGACGACGGATCGCTGACCTGACTCGCCGCCAATGTCTGGCTTGCCCTCAAGCTATCGATGCCCTTCATGATGCCATCTGCAACCTCGCCAACTCGTCCTTCAAGCGTGCTGAAGTCCATCCTGCTGATTGCAGCATTGATTTGTTCCGTTACAAGTTCGTCCTGCACGACTTCCGCTGTAACCTTGCCCTCCGTTCTCCAGTATTCCTCGCGCACGCCTCGCAACGCTGGATCGCGGTTTACCGAGTTTGTAAGTAGAGCAAGCGCGCGCATCTTGTTGAAGGTGTCTTCGGACGTTCGTGTGGTTGCTTCGATGCGTTCGGCGATGGAAACAGGCTTGGCGAGCCAGCGGTTCGTGCTTGTAGCCCAGAGGACAAATGCGAAAGCCATGTCTACCACTGCGAAGGTGACGTAGCGTAGAAAGCGGACACGCCAGTAGGCCGAATCGATGTCTTGCACATACTGTGCGCGCTTGTTGAGCGTGATGTCGTACGTGCCCATGTACCACACTTCCACCACCATCATGAGCAGTCCTACAATCGTTGCGTGTGTGCGGAACCGCGAGCCTTCGCTTCCCACAAGCGATGACGTCGCGAGACCAAGAACGCCTAGTTGAAAGATGTGCGACGTGACTATCTTGGGGAGCGAATACAGGAAGTGGTTTTGCTGGTCGTTTCCGTTGGCTGTGGTGCACCAAACACAGTTCAACAGCGTGTCCGGGCCATATGCCAGGTACAGCAGTTTGTTGCGCACACTCGAGGTGAACTTTGTCCGTAAGGCATCGTCTTCGTCTGTAAGCGGCCGGAGGTGCCGTAGCCGCGCGAATAGTACACTCGTTTCGGTCCGTATGTGGCTCTGTGTCTTGAGAAATATGTTGTCCGGTGCGAAGCGCGACAAGGAGAGGATGAGGCACGCGACAGCGCTCGCAAAGAGCAAGTTCAGCGCATGCTGGACTCTCGGGGGCGTCGACCTTATTGGTACGCTTCGTCCGGTTGCGCGCGCGAGGTTGATCCAGTCGAGGACGCGGGGTATGAGGAAGGGCCCGAAGATGATGAGGATGGAGTGGACATTCTGGGGAAGAAACGTCAGGCGCGGGATGACGACGTAGGACACTACCAGCAGCACAATCGAGCGCACGTTGAACATTGTGGGTGTCGCGTTATCATGGGCGAGTCGGCGAGGGCTGTGGTGTCGCTGAGGACATGTGTCCTCGCATTCGACCAAACGTGTGGGTGACGTGTGAGCGTCGGCGGAACTGAAGCGCGATCACACGTGTTAACGCGCTAGTATTGAATCCTCAACTTCCACATGACTGCCAGACCTCAACACTCACTCGTTCCAGAATTGTGCAGCTTCACATTTGATTTTCCGTAGACTTTGGCTAGCAATCCAATCTGTCGTCACGCTTATGTGCAAGTTCGATCAAAGACTGACAGCTTCACGACCTCACAACATGTCCGTTGTGATGGCCTGTATGACTTTGAGCGATACATCACCGGCAAAATTCCTGTCTCCCTGACCTCTTCGCTATTACATTATCTGTATCTATCCTAGTAGCCATATATCGCTGAGAATGACTGATCGCCTCCCAAACACACAGAAGCAGGCTAGCAACATAGATCAACTCTCCATCGAAGATGCGCCGGTAGCTCGCGAAGACGACATCCCAGACATCTGGCCCATCGAGTGGGAAACAACTAAGCTCGACTCCGCACTCGGCCTTTTCCACTTAGCACAGTGTGACAAGGCCCTCGATGAGAGAGCATGGGACGATCCTGTGGCGAACTGGACAAGCGAAGATATGGCGGCAGTCGAAGCGCTCTTCCCAAGGAGAACATGGCCCGAGATGTTACCGTATCCAAATCTAGTTGCGTATGCACGATATGTTAACGGATATTAGACTTCTCCCTGGAGAAGTTGGCTCCGGATCCCGAACGTTCTAGCTGTAGCCTGGCAGAAGGGAGTTGTAATAGTTCCGTTGAAGACATCAAATTACCCACTGCTGAGAGATGATAGCTATATACCAGGGTTCGAATATGCTCCTTCTACAT